ATCCAGGTACTCTCTGTGTTTTGTGTTGGCGTTGCCTTTGAAGGGTGCAAGGAAGCTGTTGCTGGCAGAGAATGCCAGGGTACTCTTAGTGATCCATTATTCAAAGCAGATTAACCCAATATTACACAAAATATATTGGCTCCTGATAGATACATGAGCCCAGTTCAAAGTGTAGGTTACCCCCTTTAAAGCTCTAAGTCAGGGTGGTCCAACTTTTCATACCAAGTGGGCCGCAAGAATACTTTTGACACAGAACCTGTGGGCCTCACCTTTCTTTCATGGCGGGGGGGGGGGGAGGATAAGGCCAAAATCTGATTCCCACCCAGGATTTTCCCAGCTTGGGAAGAAGGTGAAGGGCTCTAGGATCCTGCCAGAGCCTAGAGCCTCATTTACCTGGCTTTGGGAAGGCACCGTAAGGGCTGTGGGGTTGTGTGGGTCAAATGTTGCTGAGGTTTCTCTCCCCCCCCCCCGCCGCCCCCAAAAGGCCTCAAGGGTGGTGTGAGGTTCTTGGGCCACACGTTGGACCATCCTGCTCTAAGTGGTTTGGCTCTGGGCAGCCCTGTAGCCAGTGTGGGGCAAAAGGATGCACAACTACCCAGAGCTATTCTCTCCTCCTCCCACCCTGGATATTTTTGGGAAATTGTCTCATAAATATGTGACATTGTCCCACCACAACATGACACACAATGACACCTTCCATTTAAAGAATAACAGTCCAGTGACACCTGGAGGGCTCAGGTTAGCCATCCCAGGTGTAAAACTGACCCAAGAGGCCTTGAGTACTGATGACTTGATTGGTCATACTTATATTGCTTATACTGGACACCTGCTCTGTTGTTTGTGTGTTTTAAATGGTTCATTTTATATGGTTTACTTATGTTGTTTAGATGCATTTATTTTTATATTTTATAGTAAAGTGCTATGAGTACTGTTTCTGCCACATATATATCTGACAATGGAGCTGCCTGTTATATGTGTGGGATTATGAAAATACTATAGTAGCAATTATAAGACCATTTGTGACCAGCTAGTATTGATCAATGACATTTATCGGTCTTATGCATATTTAAAGAGATGGCTTAACTGGATGGCACACTGAATTCCAATATTTCTTTGATGAAAATAGGGATGTCCTATTCCAACAACAACAACAACAACAACAACAACAATAAATATTCTACCCATCTGGCTATGTTTCCTCAGCCACTCTGGGTGGCTTCTGACATATATAAGAACACAATAAAACATTTTTAAAAACTTCCCTATACAGTGCTGCCTTTAGATGTCTTCTAAAGGTTATAGAGTTACTTATCTCCCTGGCTTGGGGGGTTGCATAACTCCATAGCCCCCAACATTTATCCAAAGAAAAGAGGAAGGAAAAGTGAGACATTCCAGGATCAAATCAAATCCGAATCTGGGATGGCTTCTGTAAGTCCAGGACTGTCCGGGAGGTGTTCCATGGTGGTGTGGACCAGGTCCTTCAAAGCAGGGGCACTTGCCCTGTCTCACACATTTTCCATTGAATTTTTCCATTGAAAATTTCCCATTAGCCAAAGCTCTGTGCACTGGCACCAACTCCTGGGGGTCCAGGCACCCACAATTTTGTGGCTGTGGCTGTCCAGCTGCTGCCACTCCCCCCCACCCCACCCCCTGCCATCGCCTTACCTCTGGTACACTGGCACCGTGGCATGAGTGATCTGGGGCTTGTCCCTCTGCCGTGGGACCTCTGTTGGGGCCTGCTGTGGCCACGGGTGTGCTTGCAGGGTATGTCCGCGGTGGCAGTGGGCCTCAACAGAGGCATGGTGGAGGTGCAGGCTCCAGCCCCGTCACCACTGTGGCACCATGATAGTGCGTCTGCAGCCGCCACAGCATCATGATAGTGCCAGGCCACACAATCACGATGGCACAGCATGACGTGATGTCATGACATTGTAGCGTGGCGCCTATGCGCAGGGCACCCACATTCAAGGGCCCAAGTCCACACTGCTGGCTCTGTGCAAGGGCTTCTCTTTGAGCAACAGAGAGGAGAGGGGGGAATCGTTCCATCTGCCAAGCTGACAATGTTTGTAATAGCATGATGTGGAATTCCACCCACTGTTTATTTTCTTGGATTCTTAAAAAGATATTATTTCTCCAGGCTTTCCAAGAAGGATCAGTTTATTCACTGGCAGTATTTGACGTTTTTCTGATAACTGCTTTCTACGTTTTTACTTCTTCTTTTTAATTGTAAACGGGTGGGGACTAATTCTTCCTCCAGTGCCTGCTCACCCTGATACCTTGTGTGGGAGTCAGGCTCTGTGACAAGCTGCAGTCTGGTTCACCTGGTGGCGATGGGTGCCACTAAGACCCTACAGAGCTCCATTCTGCAGAGTCATATGCCATATATGTACATCTAAATAGCCACATCCCAAGTCCTATTTCTTGAGGTCAATTCCGTGAGACAGAAGGTGTATGAGAAGCATTTCACACCTGCAGGGTTCCACGTGGTGTGGCAGCTCACTAAAAGAGTTTTTAACTTACCCCACTTCATGTTCTGTTTTCATGTGGCCTGGTTGTGAACACATGCCAGGCCACAGGGAACTCCGAACAGCTGATTGCTCTCTGTGTGCCCCACATTTTATATACGGTAAACTGGCTGTCACCTGTGCTTGCATGTGACACCTGAGGCTGATGCGCACGCAAGTGTAATATAATCTAATTGCTTTCTTTTAATGTCTTTAGGCAACAGCAGCCTTGGGAGAATATTTTCTCCTTGGGTAGCCCATAAGAGCTGAATGAAAGAAAGAAAGGATACTTATCTCTTACAAAATATGGAAAATTAGAGAATATTGCAATAATTGAACTCCCATTTCTCTTGATTTATTAATACAAGGGGGAAAGCATTAATCACAGGCCCATTTTAGTACATATGAGGCTGTGCTTTTGGCATGACAGCCCACAGTGGATGCCAATTTCCCCCCATTAAAAATTGACTCTGAATGGTTGTTAGGCTATTTTCATTCCCAAGAGAGAGATGCTGCTTGCAGAAAAGCAGGCACCCAAAATAATTATAATGCTTTCAGATGAGAAGTTTCCTTTCATTATACGTTAATATTATTGAATCTGTCTCCTGTAATTAGAGCCATGGGACTAATTCTCTGGGACTAAGAGAGATAATAGCATGCAGACAGAAAACTTGTGCTGAAGCTCTACAATTTTTGGTCAAAAAGTTTACATTACCAGAACAGCAGTGTGAATGTTGTGCCTATACTGAACGATGAACCATCCTAGGTTGACTTCATTAGGTATTCCCTTTAAGTGTTATAGGATTGCTGCTTAATGCTGCAAGCTTAAAGAGCACTGAAGGGAAAGAAGGCATCAGGCCTTACGGAACAGCCTTGCAAACAAGCCCACAAAATTTTCTGGTCCACAACTTTTACTGGCCTACCTCCCAACATGTACCTAAATTAGCTATTTGTGGTACATGTTGACAGTCTGGAAGAAAATAAAGAGCAAATTGCATGTCTGATTGCTTACCATAAGTCTAGACTAAGTGGTTGAAAAACTTGCTTCAGAATGCTTTGCTCAGCATTTGCTAGGCAGCCGCCATGCGGCTTGCAGGTGACAAACGCCCAAATCAACACACGTGGCATCTTTTATATGGAAACTGCCTAATCCTGAATCGTCCCCCCTCTAAATATGTCCTGTGCATGCTGGGGAGGAGAGGTTTGTAGATTGCCATTTTTCCTTGACCTGCTAGTTGTCTGTGTGCTTTAGTTTTCAATTTCTCTGTGCATACCCTGCTCCTTCATTCTGATGTGGTAAAAGTCCAAGGAAAGCTGCTTCATATAGATTGTAGCAGGGCCGTTTTTCAGCTGGAACTCGCCAGAACTCAGTTCTGGCACCTCACAGGTGAGTGCCATTATAAGAGAACAAGAGAGGTGTTCATGGTGAGTTCCGGCAGCTAAGGTAAAAGGTAAAGGACCCCTGGACAGTTAAGTCCAGTCAAAGGTGACTAGGGGATGCAGCGCTCATTTCGCTTTCAGGCTGAGGGAGCCGGCGTTTGTCCACAGACAGATTTCCAGGTCATGTGGCCAGCATGACTAAACCACTTCTGGCGCAACAGGACACTGTGACGGAAGCCAGAGCGCACAGAAATGCCATTTACCTTCCTGCCCCAGTGGTACCTATTTATCTACTCGCGCTGGTATGCTTTTGAACTGCTAGGCTGCATGAGCTGGGACAGAGCAATGGGAGCTCACCCAGTCACGGGGATTCGAACTGCTGACCTTACAATCGGCCCAAGAGGCTCAGTGGTTTAGATCACAGCACTGAGGGAGCAGAAATGTAATAGGAGAGTAGAATTATTATTTTATTAGTTACAGTGTTTTATATTATTAAATATAATTGTCCATTTTCCTTTGTAAACTGCTTCCTGGGTTGTTAAATAAATATTCTGCTGCATGTGTGGTTCAGCTGTAGAGGCACGCCAACCACCTTAGCAGTTGTCTGAAGCTGCCTCTGCCATTATATGAAATTGCTTAGGAGTTGGCAAATCGACTAAATCATGTTGGAGCACATCTGCACAGCGGTTTCTGAGGAGACCAGACAGGCACCCAGTGCTTTTCCATTCCAGTCCCTGGAGTTCATATTTGCTTAGTGCTTCATCTTGATCGACTGCCTCCAGTTCTGCCTGTCATTCCACACACAGCCTGTTTACCATTAGTCAAGGGAGTCAGGCAGCAGATGATTTTGGAGTACCATTAAAGGGCAGCAAACTGTCATATATTTAGTTTGGTGCTATGCCACCGTATGGAATGCTGTTTGGGTTTTTATTTTTTATTTTTGCCTCTGACTGGCCTCAAATGTCTTGTGCTATCAAACATCTGGTTTACTGTGTGCCTCTGCTGAAGTTAAAGCTTCAGGAACCAATATGTACTCACCCTTTGTCACCAAGCTGGAAAAGCAAATGCGACAAAATCCATTCTACTTTATGATTCACTTGTTGTCATGGTCAATGCTAGATGCTCAGTACCATTTTAATGCAGTGTATGCTTTACAGAGACATTGTCAGGTGAGTCTGTGCAAACCTTGAAACGCAAGGAGAGTACAGATTTTTTAATCCAAAAAACGCTACTGCAGGAAGCCACCCCCCGCCCTCTACCACCACAGCATCACATCAGAGCTTGCAATCGGCTGTGTATTGTGCACAGTGTTTGAAGGACACAGCACCCCATGATACCACTGATTCAAAAGCATTTTCAGCCTTGCTCCTTTTTATCATTAGAACCTTGTTTTCTTATTCTTCCTTACATGCCCAGTACAAAGTTTGACCTGAAATATTTGCTCACTGCAGAGCCCAATATCATGACACAGCAGGTGTCTACATAGTCTATTTTAAGCTGTGTTTCTTAGGTAATATACACATAAAACTGTATATCTGCATATACACATAAAACTGAGCATGCTGCTGTATTGGAAGAAGAAAAAAATATGCTGCATTATGTCTAATATCTATATACTCACACACATAAACAGCTCTCCAAGACTAGGATTTTCATCTGGGATAGATTTTCTCCTCTAAACAGGTCCCCTTCAAAGAGGGTCCATATGTCCTCTTATTGTTCGCACCAACATCGCTCAGTGAATAATAAATAACAGTCAGTGGTAAGGATGATAAATAGCAGTATGGTGGAGTTCAGTGCCACTTTTATCCATTGGTGCATGGAAGCAGGAAAATGATAATTCTCATTATTGTCTGGCATATTTTGTACAGCTGCCACTTTGGAACTTAAATGGGCTTCCGGTTTCTTTAGGAGAAGCTTTGCAGGTTCAGTTTCTCACACTCATTCCTGCACCACTTTATTTACCCTCCTTCTCTAACCCACTTTGGTGTGAGAGACATCATATTGCATAGTGCAGTTGCTGGGGAGGAAGGGATTGTGAATGGAGTGAGGAGATGCACCGGGTCATCTGAACTCGTCTTGGGTCTGCTTAAAGCTGGAGCTTTTCACAAAATATAAATCCATTCTGCATACTGAGATGGCAACCTTACCAGGAGATTGGCCATCCTTTTATTTCTTTCTCTTACCACCAGTATCACAGGGGTATTCCTACAGCACAAATTGATAATTGTATCTACAACACTTGAACAATGTCCCAGAGGGAGCCTAAGAACTAATATGTGAGGGTGCCAGTAAGTTTTAGCATCCTAACAGATCTAGTTGTAGAGCTAGTTGTATTACTCAAGGGCAGGAGGACCCCAACCCATATATGAAGGAGGTTTCATGTTTTTGGCTTCTTGGAGAATGACCTTTGCCTCTTTATACTGGCAATATGACAAGTGTATTCACAGTTTTTTGAAAGGGCCATCCATGCAATCAAGAAGCAAGAAGACGTGGATTTCAGAAGGAGTACACTGCCCACTCCCTGCTTCTACTTCCCATCTCTGCATGCTGTTCAAAAAACCCCAAACCCACCCACCAGTCTTCAGAACAAAGTGGGAGCAGGAGCTTAAAATGCAAAATATCTGAGATTTACAATGACAGTATAATTTAGATGGCTGTATATAGAGGGGCAAGGGATAACACTCAAGGGGCAGAGACTGTTTCAAGATCACATCAATACAAATCCAAGTAAAAAGGAGCTGTGTTGTTCTCTTTTCACATAGGAGCTAACCTGAGTCCTGTGCATTATACCACAGCTTTAACTCTCTCGTATGCCCCAGCTCCAACAGCCTATCAGAGTGTTGTCAAAGAAGGTCTTTTCAGTGGTGGCTTCCCAGTCATAGAACTTGATTCCAAGTGAAATCAGGCAAGCCCATCTCTCCTTAATTTTAAATAGACCTTGGGTCATCTTTTTATCATGGACATTGGAGGCTAATCTAGGACACGGCTTTTTAGGGTTGAGTTATTTTTCTTTTTTCTGTGGTAGGTTGGCCGATATAACTTTTGGTGGTACTGGATATTATGTTTGAATGGGTTTTATTGTTGGATTTTATTATGGCTATGTATTGCGAACCTCTTTGGGATACAGTTTTGCCTTAAAAGCAGTCTCAAAACCTACTGAATAAGGTAAGGAAAATAAATCAACTGCCTGAACATACAGGGGAAAAGAGATGTAGAACCTTCTTGTCAGGGTTTGCCTGGATTTGAATTCAAAACTTTCTTATCAACAGGCTGGTTGCCCCTTGTGATAAGCTGTTCTGGGTGGTAAAGCGGAGGGGAAACTGGTTGTACCATCCATCTCAAGCCTCCACTTTGCCCCATCCTAAAACAGATTTGGTTTTATTTGGCCAGGCTGTAAATCACTCCAGCCCAAGTCTAGAGCCTTGTCTGTCTTGCCTCTCCATTTTTTAAACATCTGCTGAGGCGTACATCTGCTACCTGCTGGTCTATGTCCTTCTGGCTGACCAGTTACTGCACTTTGACTGTCCTTTCTGCATGGTGCCTTGCGCCTCTGGCCGCTTGCTTCTGGCGCTTCTCAACAAGGCCAGCCTCTGACCCTGCAGGTGCTCTTTCTGGATCGGCTTTGTGGTCCAGCACAGATGACTATTTACCAACTAGCCTAGTGTAGTAAAGGAATTAAGGAAGCCTGGCTTCACCACCAGTGAATTCAGCATAAAATGTAGTTCAGATGTTATGTTCCCGAAAACAGCACCACTTACGAAGTGTTTCAGTGTTGTGTGTGTGCATTTGCTAAAGTTAAAAATATAGGTGTCTGCTCACACACGCACACACACAAGGATCCAAAGAGAGCACTGGACTCATGCTGAGAAATGTTTTACACACACACACATACAGCCCAACTCTTCATGCTTCTTCCGCTCCCCCTCTCATTCTACTGCTGTTGTAACACCAATGAACTTAATTTCACATACGGAAATGGATTTGGCTGGTGCAGGAAGCTCATGGTATCTAAGGAGGGGAGTCTCCATCTCTGCTCTAGCTGAGCCTCCTCTGGGTTTGAGACAGCAGGTCTGTATACATTTTTGACCTTAGGAACCTGGGGTAAGAGTCTTTTTCCATAAGGCTGTGAATTTTGCCCTGGGCCTGGTCAAAGCACGTTGGTGAGGGCTCCTGTATGTTCCGTCTTGTCACCTCTCGGGTCTGGAAGTCTATGTTCACCTGAGAAAGAAACACAAATGTAATTTGTGCGAGGCAACAGGGGCAATTCTTAACTTCCCCCCGCCCTCCATCCACAATCAAATACAGCATTTTTGTCACACTGTCAAATTTAATTCATCACTTTTGAGCTGAAAAGCAAACCTGGAGTACATTTGGCTCAATGACACATGCGCAGCCATGTAGAATTTCAGCTAGCATTGTCAACTTTTAATTTTAACCAAACTGGCCAAGGGGTGAGGTAGATTTGGGGGCAAAATCAGGGTGAAACATATTGGGCCAAGTGCAATGGTGGAACTTGCCAGGTGAAAGATGCAGCAGGCTGGATGAGTAGGTAGGCAATGAAAGAACCAAGGCTGGACCACATCTGAGATGCATTGGCTTCTCATATTATTTTAATACTGATCACCTGACAAACAGGCAGTAGGATCATTAAAATATTGGACATCTGGTAACCCAAGTTTTAGGATCCTTCTCTAGATCAGCAAATTACAGTAATCTCTGAATTGCCTAATCTTTATTGTAATGTCATGAAGCATATTTCTGTGCATATTGGTGCATATTTACTGGGAAGCAAGTCCTGCTGTATCCATGTTATTCCATTCTATCCCTTACAAATATCCTTTGGAACTTGCCATCTATCAAGTTTTAGGTCTGAGTGCATATCTAAACCCAAGTGGCTGTAGCTCATGCCCACTGTATTATGCTGCACCAGAAGATGGGAAGTCAAATGTTCTTGCAACTATACAGTCATGTGGAAAAGACATTGCACTTCTGCTGTGGGCTCGCTTGTGGAGATGAAGCCGATCGCTTCTTTTTCTTAGACATTTTCACGGAGATGCAGCCGCTACTATTTTTTGCTGTAAATCAGGAAACTCTGAGTCCTTCCCAAGATTAGGGCGTTTGATCTCCTCTCCTGCTGATAAGTAGTTGGTAGATTGAGTCGAGCTGGAGCTAATTAAGGCTTTCTCCGAGACTTTCCAGGGCTTTCTCTAAAACTTTTAGCTTAAACTTTGTGATTATAGTAATTAAGAAAAAAATACTGAGCGATAAAAAATACTAGAACTGATAAAAGCTAATAAAAAGCTGATAAAACTAATAAAAACCGCACGACTGACGCAGAGCTCAAATCAATGCTTCCTCTAACGACGCCCATGTGGAAAAGACTGCGGGTAGCCTTCTTCTCTGCAGAGAGGGATCCCTGAATGGCTGTTAGCTTCTACATCCATCCAACCATGGCTTAGTGCAGGGGTCTGCAACCCGCGGCTCCGGAGCCGCACGTGGCTCTTTTACACCTTTGCCGCGGCTCCGGGGCAGATGCTAGCGAGGGGAGGAGGCGCATTGTGCGCCCCGACACTCCTCACTGTGGCGGGCGCTGTACTGGCTGCGACATCGCATGGGGGTGGTTGCGTGCGTTAGTCACGCACCGTCCCGACGTCACCTTCCCGCCCGCTGTCAGATTGGACATTAAGGTAAGAAACAATATATGCAGTGTTATATTTGTTTTAAATGTCACAATGGTTTTGCGGCTCCCAGTTTTTTCTTCTTCGGAAACGGGTCCAAGAGGCTCTTTTTGTCTTAAAGGTTGCAGACCCCTGGCTTAGTGGTATGTCCAAACATACCAGGGGTGAGCACACATTGCCTGATTTCCCCCCCAGGTTATAAACTGTGGCACTATGTTGTGTATTTTTGTGTTTTTATTCTGTAAACTGCCCTGTGAACCTCCGAGGAAGGGTGGTATAGACATAGATACAAACAAACAAACAAACAAATAGACTGAGGTTCCACAAGTGGCCCCCAATCCTAGGAAGAATGGTGAGTGGTGGGTTCTCTTCTGCTCTCCACCACCCTTGTTTCCAAGATTCATCCTGCCAGAATAACAGTTTCTTGTATCTACTAACCTCTCGTGGTGCTTGCACATCAATAAATTCTTCAAAAATTCTGTGTGCCTTGGAAGCCAGCTTGGCAGTGGACCGTGTCTTTTTGAACTCCTCGCAAGCCAGCCAGAATTCCAGGTTCTCTTCACTGAACTCAGTCTTTAGGAATGCACGAAACGCAGCCACTCCGTCTGAAAAAAGGGGAAACTGTTTAAGGCTTGAATGTGTGAACCATTTTCAATTTTTAGGGGTTTGTTGCTGTTGTTCCATTCGAATGAAATGGAACCATAGGTAGGGTACCAACATTTTGCAATTCGTCTACAAAATGATGTTTGGGCTTCCCCCCTCAGTATTTCATTTTGTGCAGCATATTTTTAAGGAGATAAATGCATCATGGAAAGCCCAGTTGGTGTGTGAGCATTCTGGAGACACACACACTTAAATTTGGTATGAGAGTGGGGAATTGTAGTGCCATTCAGCTCCTACTGCTAGCGCTAAACTTCAGGTACAGCTTTTTATATACTGTTGTTCCTATGAAGCATCTTGAAGCAATTTCACAGTCCAGTGAAAACATATATAAAACAAATGCATATATAAAAAGAGTTCCAACAGTTGTATATATAAACAATTCATATCCGATGCAAATACCAAATGCAATAAATGCTAGGAGTGCAGCAATTTTAAAACTTTGTACCATCAGGGAACCCTTTATATTATTTACTCATGTATTTAAAACATCTGTAATTCACCTTTCTTCAATTAACTCATCAAGGCAACTTTTCTACTGAGGAATTCCCATATGTGTTGCAGAAGAGCTTGCAAAATATTTTATTGTGATTGCTAATCACACACTTAGGCCAAAGCAGACATGAAACTAAATGCATCACTGGAATTGTCTTTTATCCCCCCCCCCCAGTTAATAGGTGTTTCTCACCCCAACCCCACTGTCTTCTCACTGAGACTGTAATGTGTTGGGGCGGGATTAACCTTCTCATTCCCCACTGCAGTTTTGATAGGACCCCATTACTAGCCCAGAAAAGGAGAGCTCCCACTTGGGTCAAGGGTGGAAAGGATTGAAGTCCCTTTTGCAGTATACCTGTTAACTGCTGTATATTTTGTAAAAAGAGAGCAATTTTAAGTGAGATTAGTGTCATGTCCAGTTTAGCCCTCTGTTCACACCATGGCTACCAGCTAAGCTTTTGGTCTCATCACCAATAACAGTAATGATGGGGTAGCTCTCTTTCAAGGAGACTTGTGTGCCATTTTTACTACCTCACTGAGGAACTCCCGAGAAACCTGTTGAGCTGCCTTGAGTCCACGTTGTTACAGAACAAGGGTGGCTAACCAAATAGCTTCATTCATTCTTGGTCTAAACCCTGGATCCAGCAAGTGTTAGAATTTAATCAAGGCTTGAGGTGTTAAACTGGGTGCCAGACCCCTCTAATCCCTGGATCCTTCAAGTGTTAAAAACTAATCAAGTCAAGCCAGCCTCTTGGTAAGGTGTAAGGAGAACAAACAAAAAAGGACTCCTTAAAAAGAAATGCTTCCTTGCATTAAAAACTCTCTGTAAATGGAAAACCAGCACACAGGCAAAGAGTTGGACTAGAACTTTTCATACAGGGGCATCTAAAGAGGGGTTTTGTGGGGTAGGGGGGAGTTTAATGAGGGAGTGTTTAGAAAAGGTATCTCCTCCTAAGCGCCATAGCATGGGTTGCCGGTGCCTGGGGCCGCACAGAGCGGGTGGGTGGGTGGGAGAGAGTAAAACGGATGGAGCATACATGCACATTCAACTGCCTAACGGTGTCCGTATCACCCAGTAGATGGCAGCTGCAGAGATAAGAAAAGAAGAGTCGTTTCATTGCCTGGAGAAGTCACTTCCGGATTTGCATGGAGAAGCCATTTTCAATGGACCCCAGCTTACAGAAGCACTCAGCTATGCTGAGGTAGAACTGGCTGCTCAAATTTTGCGCCCCCTAACAATTTTGTGCCCTGGGCAACCACCCCTGTGCCCCCCATGCTACGCCACTGCTTCTCCCCATCTGTATTCAGAAACTGTATAGTCCACTCAATCACCACAGCATCCCATCACGTTGTGTGGCACGTGCAGGGCCAGGCAACCATGACTACCTCTCAAGGTTTGAATTGAAATGCAGCATAGGAGAGGACTGGGGAAACAGCTCTCTGCACTCCATAGGACTAAACTGCCCTGCTCATAATAAGCTCATGACAGAGGACATATTTCTCGTTGTATTTAAACAGCCACGTCTCCAAGGCCTCTGAATGAGCTTCTGGTTGAATGGGAGTTTATGCCCAGGTATACCATTTGCAACCCATCAGCTATTTAGGACACATTTATAATCTCTATTTATGCATGAGAGTGATCATCCTCTTTCTAATCATTACCACTTTCATAAAGATTGGCAGAGGAGAGCACAATGCACTTGCTGCTGGCTTTGGGTAGTTAGTGAAAGTGCCCTTATCTCTTCGGTGCTTAGTAACTGTGCCAGGGTATCTTGGGTTATATGTTATAAATAGAGAGAAGGCACTATTGTTTGCCTTTGCTGCTCAGTAGGAGAGTACTTTGGAGGCATCAGTCTTCTGTAAGAGAACAGTCCCCTGGAAGAATCCTCTTATCTGAAGAGCTGTCCGGTCCAAGGCTTATATTAAGATAATGAAACCTAAGAAGGAGAGTGTTGACGTTTCCCATCAGTAGTCAGGTATGCATGTCGCTATGGGGAAATGTATTGTATTTCTATTTAAATTATAATAATTATGTCTGAATCTGCATCTATGCATAAAATAAGCACATTCAAATTTTATGCAAATTGTTGTCCTCTTTACAGCAGTCACTAAATATGATGACCCTGATCCAATTAAAATTAGCTCTGGTTCCCAGAGAGGTAGTAAATCTGTGTCTGGCCAGTGCAACTATTAAGAGTATTGGAGGAAGGATTAAACCAGTTATCTTGACCCATTTCAAATCCAGCTTCCACTCTGCTTTGGGCACTAGGATGGCTTTGGTTCCTCTTGTTGATTACTCGTATCAGGAGATGGTGTCCCTGTTTATTCTCCTTGATGTCTCAGTGGCTTTTGATACCATTAACCATGGTATCCTCCTGGCTCAGAAGATTGGGGTTGGAGCCATGGTGATACAGCGGTTCTGCTCCTAGCTTCTCTAGAGAATAGCATTGGGTGACGAAGGCTCAGTGCCATGGCAGTTGTACCAAGGGCTGCAAATGCCCCATCTTGTCCCCAGTGCTTCTTAACATCCATATGAAGCTGTTGAGTGCTGTCACCAATAGATTTGGGGTTTGGTGTCATCATTATGTGGATGACACTGGGCTCACTCACTCTATATGCCATCTGGACCCAGTGAAGCTGGATTGGTGCTGTATCGGTGCCTTAAAGTGGCAACGGGCTGGATGAGAGCCAAAAAACTGAATCAGAATATGTTGTTGTAGGCACTGCCTTAGGTCAAGGAAGGTCTTGGTGGATATTTAGGAAGTGCCAAATACGTTCCTAAGCCACTCCAGGCTGAATCATTTGCCAACACTTGTCTACTCCCTGACGTAGTGACCTTGAGCTCAATATAGCACAGAGTGTGTCTGGTGGCCCTGAATAGCTTGGAGTTTTGTTAATGGCAGCAGCAGGCTAGCATGCACTTGTGCATTAAGACAAGCAGATAACATGAGAATGCTCCCTTCATCTGCCCCACAATTCTCTTTCAACCTTTCGTGTTTTAGAATCGCTGGTTTGTTTTGAAATTCCGTGACTCCTTGTAAGATATTATAGGTATGGGTCACTTTTAATATTCTGAGACACTGTGGTTTAGAACCAACATTAAGTCCTGTGCTTTCTTCCTACATATGATCCAAGTTCTCATTTTTTTATCTCAAGGTCTATCCGCTGCAAACAAAGCCCACTGTTTACAGAGGCAACCTGGGAAGTAGCAAAAACCTCACTTCATCAGGGAGCTATGTTATTACTAGCCTTGGTTTTTCCAATCCCATAGCTTTCTTAGCATTTGCCTTTGGGGAATGAGCCCTCCCCCCCTTAATAATAAATGTAAACAGCTTTTTATCATGTGTTCACATGTGTTCCTTTCCCTTCTCTTCCAATGTCTGCTCTCAGACATCCTCACTATTTACACTGACTTTTGCGGAAACAGGCTGCTTGCCAGAGGACGTGAGAAACTGAGCAGACTTGGCCAGAAGCTCTTATGAAAGAAGAGCGTTTTCTCATGATGGATATGCTGAGAAAGACCTCTTTGCCCCAGAAAGCAACCTAGAGGAAGCAGAGGGCAGGATAAGCAGCTGGAGGTAAAAGATCCCACACAGACCTCTGACTAGCCTCCTGCTCTCAGTTAACTCAGTAGCTGTGCAAAGAAACTAAATTGTGGGAAAGGGAGTGATGCTTGGGTGCTAATCCCCAGACATTCAACTCCCGAGTCTCTTTCTCTCTCTCTCTCTCTCTCTCTCTCTCTCTCTCTCTCTCTCTCTCTGTTGCATGTCCCATCACATACATGACTACCTCCTCCTCTCTCCTGCAGTGACATCTAATAGTCCAAAATGTGTAATGCAGGGTCATTGTGCTGAATCATATCATGGTGATTCCACCCAGAGGTGTAGCTCTGGGGAGCAGGGGAGCTGTGTGAACCTACATTTTGCTCCGGAATTGGCAAGCCCACACATTCAGTGATTGAGCTTGCAGTTGGATGTGGCATGTAAACCCAGTGGCGTAGCGTGGGTTGTCAGCACCCGGGGCAAGGCAAGTAATTTGCGCCCCCTAACCCGTGGATTTGCGTCCCCTAACCTGTGGATTTGCCCTAACCCCAGATGTTGCGCCCGGTGCGGCCGGCCCCCCCTGCATCCCCCACGCTACGCCACTGTGTAAACCAGTCAGTGCTTTAAAAACTGGGATGAGTATTTGACTTTTCAATGACACTTGCATTGGTATTTTGAATCCTGGCAGCCACTCAAAACTAACAAAGTTTTAGCATCACCAGATCTGTGGTTATAATGGGAATTTCCAATAATGTTTTTAATGGGGAGATTTAGTAATGAATCTGAGGGGTGGGAGAGAGAAATTGGAATTGCCAAAGGGCATAGGAGTCGCATGACACATATACACACATCAGAGACAAAGGGAGAGAGGGAGGGCAAGAGGAGGAAAACTTTGAAATTGAAAGCACGCAGGGTTTTTCCATATCTTGACAGTTGCAATCAGACTGAGGATTTAAGGACAGTCCACCCTGCTAGATGTTGGACAAATGATAAACCACATACCCAGCCCTGTGAGGGATGCAGTGCAAGATATGTTCTTGTTTTGTGTCTCTTCCAGCATTCTGTCAAAAGGAATCTTCATCTGCCTAGCCAGACCATCTCTCCTGGGCAAGAAATATACAGGGAAGAACAAGTCCTCTCCCTCTGTTCATGGTCACTTCTCTCTCTTCTTCTCCCCTACCTCTTCCTTATAGAATCATAGAATCATAGAGTTGGAAGAGACCACAAGGGCCATCGAGTCCAACCCCCTGCCAAGCAGGAAACACCATCAGAGCACTCCTGACATATGGTTGTCAAGCCTCTGCTTAAAGACCTCCAAAGAAGGAGACTCCACCACACTCCTTGGCAGCAAATTCCACTGTCGAACAGCTCTTACTGTCAGGAAGTTCTTCCTAATGTTTAGGTGGAATCTTCTTTCTGGTAGTTTGGATCCATTGCTCCGTGTCCGCTTCTCTGGAGCAGCAGAAAACAACCTTTCTCCCTCCTCTATGTGACATCCTTTTATATATTTGAACATGGCTATCATATCACCCCTTAAGCTCCTCTTCTCCAGGCTAAACATGCCCAGCTCCCTTAGCCGTTCCTCATCATTTCCAGGCCTTTGACCATAAGGCATCATTTCCAGGCCTTTGACCAAAATTGGTTGCCCTCCTCTGGACACGTTCCAGTTTGTCAGTGTCCTTCTTGAACTGTGGTGCCCAGAACTGGACACAGTACTCCAGGTGAGATATGACCAGAGCAGAATACAGTGGCACTATTACTTCCCTTGATCTAGATGCTATACTCCTATTGATGCAGCCCAGAATTGCATTGGCTTTTTTAGCTGCCGCGTCACACTGTTGGCTCATGTCAAGTTTGTGGTCAACCAAGACTCCTAGATCCTTTTCACATGTACTGCTCTCAAGCCAGGTGTCCCCCATCTTGTATTTGTGCCTCTCATTTTTTTTGCCCAAGTGAAATACTTTACATTTCTCCCTGTTAAAGTTCATCTTGTTTGTTTTGGCCCAGTTCTCTAATCTGTCAAGGTCGTTTTGAAGTGTGATCCTGTCCTCTGGGGTGTTAGCCACCCCCCCCCCAGTTTGGTGTCATCTGCAAATTTGATCAGGATGCCCTTGAGTCCATCATCCAAGTCGTTGATAAAGATGTTGAATAAGACCGGGCCCAAGACAGAACCCTGTGGCACCCCACTAGTCACTCTTCTCCAGGATGAAGAGGAACCATTGATGAGCACCCTTTGGGTTCGGTCAGTCAGCAGTTACAAATCCACTGAGTGGTAGCATAGTCAAGACCGCATTTTACCAGCTTCTTTACAAGAATATCATGGGGCACCTTGTCAAATGCCTTGCTGAAATCAAGGTAGGCTACATCCACTGCGTTCCCTTCATCTACCAGGCTTGTAATTCCTTATTTCTCAGACCAGGATTTAGCATCCAAGAAGCTATTATTTGTCCTCAGATGTATGAACACAGAACAGATAACAAATTACAGCATGAGAATAAACTCACAGAGACGTGATCATCTTGATGACTGCAGCAGCAAGTGATGACCAGCATGTGTGAAACAGCCTTTACAAGCCAATCCCCAGGGACAGACCTTTATCATCAGTTCAAATGCAATTCTGTTCTGGGTCATGCTATCCAGCAGTGCCAAGCAAAGAGAGATTTTCTTTCTAGCCCCTTTCTCTGGAATGGACATCCTTTTCACACCTACATTTTACAGAGCATCTAGATGATGCTGTTGTCAGCCTGCTGTATCCCACTAGTTTCTGTGTCATCCTCCCATGTTTTATTCAGGCCTGATTTGTGGCAATTTTTAGAAATAAAGGGTAATTGCAGCACTGACCTGTCCAGTGTGGATGGACTTGGCAAAGCACTATTGAGGTTTTTAAAGGATCCTTTGCAGATACTGTCTGCCTGAAAATACAACTCATTTTATTTCTTCCTGTGGAGCATAGGTGGAGAATAAGTGGTTAACATATTTTAAAATGACCCAGTGTCAGTTTCTCTTTCCACAGTGGGTGGGTGCAGGATTGCCACCAGTGTTTCCTCTCATTATTGTCATTGCCCTGCACTAGAAATCCTCAGGTGCAGAGTCCTCATACAGCAGTAGCCCTGAGCAGGAGATGGGTGTGCTTCCTGATCCTAAATACCTGGCAGATACATAAAAAGGGCGCCAGCTCTTGCAGCATTCAGAAGGCAGGGGGTTAATCATGACTACCTAATCCACACTACCTAATGCTAACACTTGCTCCAGGCCTACGCTGAGGCAACTTGCTCTTTCTGTCTCAGCTGTGGGATGACTATTCCAGCTGCGAACCTACTAAACTCTGCATTAACACCTTGATCCTTGACCAACATCCTGATCTTCTCTTAGTTTCCAGGCTGTTTCCAGAGGCCAACCAGTTTCCATCTTGCCTGGGCTTTCACCTCCTCTTCTAGTTGAGGACTGCAATGGGTGAGGATAATATTTCTCTTCTTTTCATTGTTTATACAGTGGTACCTTGGGTTAAGAACTTAATTCGTTCTGGAGGTCCATTCTTAACCTGAAATTGTTCTTAATCTGAGGCACTACTTTAGCTAATGAGGCCTCCCGCTGCCACCGCACCGCTACTGCATGATTTCTGTTCTCATCCTGAAGCAATTTTCTTAACCCAAGGTACTATTTCTGGGTTAGTGGAGTCTGTAACCTGAAGCATCTTTAACCTGAAGCATATGTAACCTGAGGTACCACTGTATAGTGAAATAGCAGCAATATTACAATATTCTTGTAGCTGTTATAAGAACATGAGTGCTATGTGGGATATTTGGCCAGTCCCAGTAACAGCAACTGATCTTGTTTTTGAAAAGCTGGTTAGCTTTGCCACCAAGACAGGAAACGGATTGAAATACTTGTTTGCAGATCTCAAAACAGTGTTCACTTCACACCTACAGCTAGGGCAAAAATAGGCTTGCTTTAAAGGAAGACGGCCAAGTATAACAGCCCATGTTTATCAGCATATTTTTCCGGTACCTCTCTTTTCACAACTGGGTTATTCCTCTGCTTCTCCTCTTCCTTTCTTTGCTACTTTAAATTAGGAGTATGCTGGAAAAAGTACTGCTTCTCTCTACCACCCACCCCACCCCCCAAAAAACCATTCTCCATCAATTAGTAAGAAAAGAAATTGCATTCAAATACGGTATTATAAAAGGGGAGAGAAAATTTCAGAGGAATTCTCATGGGTGGGGTGCAGGGTTTTTGATGCACTTACTTTACTTTTGAGAGGGCCGGGGGGGGTGTTTGTGAGTACCCTTTCTTTCTTTCTTTCACTCACTGGCAGACACAATCCGGTCTCCCACCACTGCCCACCACACTACCCACCCATGCCCTGTTCAGTTAAGCTGTAGCAGTGCCAGTGTTGGAAGAGCAGATCCATGGCTTTGCCCCACCACACTGGCCATTATGACGTCTCACCAGTGGTCTGTACTCTGCAAGTCCTCCCAGGTGCCCACACTTCAACCAAGTCCAGGGGGAGGCATAGTGAGGTGGGTCCTCTCAGGGGGATTTTTTCAGTACAGGAGCCAGGAAGATGACAGAGTACTGGGGGAACATTTACCGGGACACCCAAACCACCAGCAGGCACCTCGAAATGATAAACTAGGCTCAAAACCCTGCATCTCATGAAATTCTAAAGTGTTCTGAGAACGAGGCAGAAAAATGGAGGCCTCTTTCAAAGAGGGAGAAAGCTTTTGATTAACTGGAGGACAGCACAGCTGAAGGTTGCATTTTAAAAGACTATTTGAATCACACCAGGCTCCTAACTTTGTTCCCTAGAATGCTGCCTCATCTTGGTTATGTTCTAAAATAGTGTTTTGAATCATTAGTCTCCAAGGGTTTTCCCCTGGAATGTTGGACTGCCCTGGGAATCTCTGTTGCAATGCCATTTTTTGCATTTTCGGCTTTGGTTGTACCACTGTCATAGACACTTATTGCTGTGATGTCAGTATTTTCTGTGCCATAGCTTCCCACTCTGGATTTTTACACGCATTTTTAATGGATATTTGTTTGGTAATCATTTGCAGCTGATTGCATCCCACTGGAACAGCCTACTGCAAGAGAGTGTAGTCATGCAAAATTCAAAATTGGCTATAAGAAGCTACCTTAGACGGAATCATACTACTGGTTCTCTAACCCTGTGGTTGTAGCTTTCCAAAGCTTCAGGAAATAAGTCCATCCCCACCTCCAGCAGTCTGGCTACATGAGATTATTTAATCCATCAAAGTATCCTCCTCCCCTAGAGCAATACTCCACACAGCCGTTTTTCTTTTCTTTGAAATTTCACTCTGTACTGTGCACTAGGGTGTGTAACTCTTGCATTTGAAACACACAGCAGGGGCATTTGTTCTGCAGCAAGGTCCCACCTTTTCCATTATGTGAGTGTGCTTTGGAAAGGAGGCGTGATATAGAAACAATCCCTGCAGCTAGCTAGAGCAACATACTGCAAGCTCTGAAAGGTAAAAGCTACAGGATATATCCTGTATCAGGAGAAATCTGAACATTCCCAGTGTGATATGTCAGTGAAACAGAACAATATTTTCATGACTAGAGCTGGGATAATTCATTGGTTATAAGTGAGAGAAAGCATGTTGATTATACGGTGTTGGAGATTTTATATAAAGTTTATATGAAAATTGCAGATTGTGGGTTCCCCAACCCAACATAAATTATATTGTGTAACAACTGAAATAAGTAGCTTTTTCTTACTGAGCAGTGTGGGCGGAGATCTGCAGCCTACATTAGAGACTTGAATGCCCAATTCCCATTCGTTTTAATTAACTTGTTAGGCAGTTTTGAAAAATCTCAAAGCTCATCGTTAAAGCTGGAATTGAAGGGACTGTTGCAGAAAGCCAGACTCAGGTTGCAGGAGGATACCCATTCTCACCAGATATAACAGCAGATATGAGACAGCTGTGAAAAAGATGTCCCTGTTTCTAACTCTCCCCTGTAATGGCCAACAAAACTGGTTGCATATTATGGTGTCATCATGCTGCGAGCCACCCAGTCCTGTCAATTGCTGTGAAACTGGAAAGGCACAGAAAATCTCCTTGCACAGTGTCTGTCACACAGTGTCTGTCACACAATGAATTTCACTAAACATGATGCAAGGTAGAGGTAGGTGATATATCAATATATCGTCCAAAACCAGTTTGAAGTCTATATCGTGATATCAGTTTCATAATTTTTGACCTGGCAATATATCATGATGTGTGTGTGTGTGCGCGCTATGCAAAAATCACAATGTGGGAAAAACTGTGAAACCAGCCAATGCCTCTACGCAGATCCATCCTTATTTCAGACATCATGATATATTGGTATATCACAATGTTTAGCCGGTGATGGATTGCGATGTTCAAAGCCAAATATCACTCAGCCCTAATGCAAGGGAGGGCACAGTTAATGCCAAACTAGACATATCTTCACCCTATTCTCCTATAAATCAGGGCAGGGGTGTGTGGATCTAATTTTTATAGCTAAAGGGACATGATAGTGAGAAGAACCGAACCCTCCCCTTCCTCACCAGCGTATGAGCCACCGCATACCAGATATGAACATGTTCTGAGGAGAAAAGTGCTCAGAGTGATGGGCAGAGCAATCCTAACTCTGGCCAGTGAGCAATAGGGCAGAACGGAGCGGAAGACCCACCGCTGCATCCAAAGCCCTTCCATCCCATAATGACACACTTAAGCTGGCTGCTGCCAGAAGGAATGCTATCAGCAGTAGCTTTCTGACCAACCATGCTTTTGACAGGTGCAGAGGGGACCTATGGACACTGAACCCCCACAACCAGCTGAGGGACATCTCCAGTCAATCCTACCTTGCTGCAGCAGGCTGAGTTAGGGAGCTAAGATTGCATCCAAAGTGTGGGAAAGTAAAGCATGGGAGTTGGGGAAGGATCCACTCCCTTTACCATAATGCCTTTCAGAATTAGCACCCAGGAATTTTCTCCCCACCCTCTACTTTACAAGATACATGAGCTAACACATATGTCTGCCACTGTCACATATAGTATGCCCCCCTAGATATGCAGAGATCTAAAACTACATGAAGGCGCCTGGAGAAGAGATGACATGATAGCCATCTCCAAATATTTGAAGGACTGTCATGTAAATGGTGGAGCAGATTTGTTTTCTGTTGCTGAAGAACAACCTTTCTCAATCTTGGGTCCCCAGATGTTGTTGGACTACAACTCACATCCCTAGCTTGCCGGATCAGTGGTCAGGAATGATGGAAGTTATAGTCCAACATCTGGGGACCCAACGTTGAGAAGGTCTGCTCCCGAGAGTAGGACCCAATTCTTTTACGAGAAAGGAGGCTTGAACTAAACATTGGGAAGAACATCCAAAAAGTACAATTTGCTTGACAGTGGAAGACACACTTGCCTCGGAAGGTGGTGGTGGAGACTCTTTGGTTAGGGTTGTTTTTAAAGCAGAGGCTGGTTGGTGACCTACCAAGGATGCTATAGCAGTGGAGAGTGGACTACATCACATGAGAGGTCACTTCCAACACTCATGTTTCTTTTGGGGTGTGCAAGGCCTTTGAAGATGCACAAGTGAGATGCACAATTTTTGCCACTTGGAGATGTTGCCAGCATGGGACATAATACAAAATAAATGTCAAACTTATTTTCTTCCTTTATATTCACATAACAAGAGTTGATCTAAGGAAAAGCCAATTGAAGACTCTCCTGTGAAAACCATCCAGGTGTACAACCCAGGATACCTCTTAAGCGGTGCTTTTTTCTGGGGGTACGCAGGGGTACGCATACTCCTAAACATTTTGTGAATCTAAGTTTGACCTCATTGAGGGGCAGTATTTCTATGAGTAGGGAAATACGAGTGCCCCTAAATATTTTTTTAGGAAAAAAGCGCTGCTCTTAAGAGAACTGGATCCCACTCCCACTGGAGGCCTGTTACAAAGCAGTTAACAAGTAAACCTTGTCAGTCATTAAATAATTAGTGAATTGATAAGGTTGGAGGGCAAAGAATAGATACCAGGAGGAATGCAATTCTACTCACATTTATGGGACAGAAGGACATCAAAAGAATCTGCCCATCTTGTAGCTTCTTCTGTTGATAATCTCCTGTGACAAAGTAGGGGGCAGTTAGGGTCAGTGAGCATTGCTGGAAGTGAGAAATGGGGATTGAGGAGTGTATACCAAGGCAGCCCAAAACCTGGCAGAATTTGCAATGTTATATGGCCTAAACAACTTGTGCAAAATTACAGAGCAGCTAATTTTCTGTTCTGTATCACCTTCTTTGTACAGGCATTAGAGTTCTTTTAAAAAGTATCTTGAATGTTGGAAAAGATTGGCGAATGTTGGAATAGATTGGAATAGATTGGACAAAATACAGATATCTTAGACCAGAAGTCCTTCCTCCAGGTGGGGTAGCTGTGCTGGTGGTGCACTCCCCTACTCCAGGTAACTTGTAGTTAAGTATGCAAGTAGGCATTCTTGTGAATAAGAGTGCTTTTGTTAAAAATGCTTTAAAAAGGCAGGGGGGTCAAATCAGGACCACAGTAATAGGGTAAAGGGTAAGCCCACCCACTGCTTTCTTAATGGAAAATGCCTCCCCTCTGTCCCGGTCTGTTGTTTGCCCCATGAAGGAAAACCTTCGTGTCCCATGGGGAAAATAGCAGCTCGGGTAGGGAGATTTTAATCCTAAAAACAGCATGGGGAGAAAACTTAGCCTCCCTCCTCAGCACTATAATTCTGATCTGCTCTTGGCTAAAGCAAGACTGCAATTAATATTGGGGGGGGGTTATGTGGGAGGTTCTAACGCTGACTGTCCCATGTCACATCCAGTTTGTTCTTTAGAGAAGCCCCAAAGCCACCTCTCTGCACTCCCAGACTGCTCCTCTTCCTGCTCCCAGCCAGTTATTGCCCTTTCCCCCGTCTCTGGCAGCACTCCTTACTCTATCCAGCCAGGCTGACTCCAGCATCCTTCTACCATGGCTTGTGCTTCTGGAGCAAGCCTCACCAGCCATTGTGGTATGGCGCTTCCAGCAGAGCATACCAAACATCTGGCAGTGTGAGGAGAGAAGGACATTCTGTGCAAGCATGCTTAGAGGCACACACATAAAGAAATGCAAAATGTGAGTGGAGACACACGGATGCAAAGGAGGTCGAGGCTCTGGACAACTGCCACCTTCTTTTGAAGGAGGTTTCCAGAGTCCACTTCAAATTAAGCACTACACTGTTTGCATCTCATTTATACTGTTTCACAGCTGTACGTGGCTCACTTCTAATAGAGAACATTCTAACCGAGGCACACCCTAATTCATGGGTAGGCAAACTAAGGCCTGGGGGCCAAATCCGGCCCAATCGCCCACAGAATCATCATGTTTTTACATGAGTAGAATGTGTCCTTTTATTTAAAATGCATCTTTTGGTTATTTGTGGGGCATAGGAATTAATTCATTCCCCCCCAAAAAAAAAAATAGTCCGGTCCCTGACAAGGTCTGAGGGACAGTGGACCAGCCCCCTGCTGAAAAAGTTTGCTGACCCCTGTCCTAATTACAGTATTTCATAAAAGGGTTTCTATTATTGTTGAATGGATTTAAGTTGGTTCCGGCAGAAGAAGGCAATCTATGAAGATTCGGGCTCACTTAGTCCTTCGGCACAAAACCTGTACAATCAATTTTCTTACAGGTTTGAAATCCATGCTGCCAGGTGCAGAAATTGAGAACGGAAGGATTTATAAAATCACCGCAAAGGAAAGCGGAGAACAACACAGAAAAGGAAGAAGGTGGATTGCCTCACCACTACTCACTTTAAAGCCCGGTTGGGTTTGTCTGGAAGGATAGCCGTGAAGTCGCTGCACGAGTCTGATTTGTGAGACAGACATCCCAGGCGAGTCCTCATCCCTCTGTTTCTGCAGTCAGTCATACAAGGCAGGGGAGCAAATGGGAGAAAAGGAGAAGGGATAACAATTAGCAACCCAGCGGGGTCAGACCCTGGGTCCACCTGACTCAACATCCTCTTTCAAGCTTTGGCCAGCAAGATGCTACCCAGAGAGCCAGGGTGGTGCAATGCAGGGGTCTCCAACCTTTGAGGGCCATGGGGCACATCTGGAACTTCAAGAGACTTCCATGAGCGCCAGGCACAAAATGGCAACCGTAGGAGAAAGGCAGAGTGGCTGCCACATCCAAAAGTGCAGAGAGCGGGGAAAGACAGGGCCACCAAGTGATGCAGGCACCTACATCACTTCCACCACATTTGCTCACAGAGAGAAGCCATTTGCACCTTTCCTCTGTTCAGAACAGATGAGAGAGTAGGCATCCGACCTGAAATGTGGGCCTGTTTAGGAGGGGTCTTCGCTGTCAGGAAAGTGGAGCCAGTGCAAAGAGGAAAAGGGAACAGCCTCTCATGCATTGTGGATTTGGGAGGGGATATTTACAGAGCCCTTTCACAGGCACCAGAGGAGATGCTAGCGAATGTGCTGGTGCCCACAGGCACTATGCTGGGAATCCCTTGAGCATCTTAACAAAAATAAGGTCAAAGGAATTTCAGACTGAATGCACACCTCTCTAATCTTTGTGATTCCAGAGACGACCTTGAAGGGGACACAGTCTGACACAGAATACCAGAAAATAGAGAGCTAATTTGCATGTATGCCTATTTTCAACGAATTAAGAGCTAATTAGAACTTATTAAAACTGACTTTTTTAACTTTCCAAGACTATAGGAGTGATCTCCCTTTTGTAAAGAAGATGAATAAACAATTTTGCTTTTTTATTTTATTTTTTAAGTACAGGCCTTTTGAAGTTTATTATTGCAAAAGTTTACTGGATGTACAACCATTAGGCCATTTCATGCCTGTGAATGTAGAGGCAAACTCCAGTTTTCTACTGAAAGCCAAACTGGATGTGTGCATGTTTATAAAACATGCACTTGCCCATTTACCTATAGCACCGCTGGATTTGGGGTGTGCAGGCAGTTCCCCTGCCCAGGGCGCTGAGCCAAGGGGGCACAAAACTGAGAAGATCCATTTGTATCTACAACAAGTGGGCGTTGGTTGTCAGCTGCTTTGGGCACAGGGTCACTGTGGGAAAGCTTCACGTAAGTAAACACAGTCAAGAAGGAGAATCATCTTGGCCAGTAAGTCCTCATTCCTTTCTAAGGGCTTGCTAAGAAAACAGCTTGAAAGCCACTGCACTAACGCCATAGTGATTCTCAAACTCCAAAATCTGAATGAAAATTCACCTTGCACTCTTAACTCTCCCCTGAGCCTCAGAGGAATTTGCTTCTGTTAACTTCACTGTGAAACAGCCTGCAAGAGCTTTTCATGACTGCACAGTTAAATATAAAATAACCTTTCTCGATGCCATATGGGAGGCCTCTGCAGAAAGCTTTGGCACTGTCTCCAAGATAATTTCACTGTGCCCACTTCTCCCTTCTGTTATAAACACTCTTGCATGATTTCTATTTATTGAACATTTTAAATGTAATTTTAGAGCAAATCTAAATGTTAGCTGATTAAAATGATTATCTGCTTGGCACCGTGCAACCTGCCCCAGAGCATTTAGCTCCAGTTGAAAAACAGGTGACTCTTTAGCACACCCTAGCATATGATGGAGGAAAAGAAACACCTGTGTTTTACAATATGTGACCCAAGTGAATGAGCAATGCAATCTGAGCCCACTTTTCCACTAAAGAATTTTGAAATAGTAATGAAAAAGAATTTGTTTCTCATCAGCCACAAAAGCATATTTTTAGAGTTCTTAACTAATTGAATAATATTTAGTTTACCGAACTAATAGTGCACAAACCAGTAACAAATCAAAATGGCAGTTTTCAATTTGCTGTCTAACCCAACTGACCTCTCTGTACTTCCCAACAAATCGTCCAGATTATTCAATATTTTGCTGTCATATGCTATATTGCTGTCATATGCTATATTGGCTATATTGATCCTATACTACTTAAGTTTGATATTGCTGTATGCTCATTTCTTTTGAGTATATAATTTTAAAGATTCAGAAAAAGAATGTTTGTTATCTGCCTTTTAATTAACAACATTAATATTTGCATATTAGCAATGTGTAGAGGATACAACATGTAGGGGATAAAATAACTAATACTCAAACAAACACTACCGATCCTTGGCAGCAGGCGTTCCATTTTTATTTCAGTTCCCTACTACTGAAATAACAGCCTCACAAAAGAAAAAGAAAAAATCCTTAATTCCAATCACCACAAACTAAAACCTGCCTTTCCCAATGAAAACTGTGTTTCCACTCAGCCAAACCTTCAGTGGATTAATCTGCTGATTAACCACTGATTAAAGTGTGCAGTCCTTTTCTGCATATCAGTATACTCGGTCTGACCCTTTCATGTGAATTCATAGCGTCCTGCAAAATAACACAGACATTTACAGAGTGTTAACATTGAGTGGCAATCATGAAAGTAATGAGAGCCATTGCTAGCCAAGTAGGCAGGTAAGCTGAATAATTGTTGCCGGCTTAATGCATCCTGTTCCCTTTAGCAAGAAAGTAGCACACACAGTTCCCCCTACATGGTCTCCTCACAACAGCCCTGTGAGGTAGGCTAGGTTGAGAAATAGTAACTACACAGCAGACGTCATGGCCAAGACAGGATTTGAACCTGTGTCTCCCTTCCCAGTCATGGTCTGGAACTTTAGCCATTACCCCTCCTTTATAAGAAGAAACGCTGCAAATAAGCCAGCTGTGGCCAAAAGGCCAACTGGCACCAGGGCACAGTGATGCAAGCACAATGAGTACAAATGGCCGGCTTATGTTATGAAGACCTGGTAGTTCTTCTCCAAACCTGGGCTTGTTTCACAACTGGAGATGCTTTGGGTATCTTCTGCCCAGAGCTCCTCAACCACCGCCCTTCCTCACAAGGCCCATTCTAGCAAGCGCTGTGAAAATCTCACAGATCTCTCTCAGTTGAGGCACATGACATGTATCTCTGCAGTGCTGCTTAAACTCCTCGGGTGTCTGAGAGAAAGGCAGTGACGATGCACAGCAGACAGGGAGACTGCGACCAAACAGAGCTTGTGTGGGACCTTATGGTGGAAGGAGCATGGCTGGCAATGGCCAAGATGGGGGAAAGGCAGGGAACACGTGGGGAGCCAAAGGGGGGAGGGAGGACAAGGCAGGGGGAAATGAGCTTGACATGCTTCCGTTCAGAATTATCTGGAAATAAGGCTATCCCATTTTACCAGCAGCATAAAATGGTAGAGCCCTAAGGTGGCAGAATGGGGTGGTGCTGGTCCAATTCTTTAAAAAGTAGTGAGGTGGCACATCAATGAGAAGATAGATCAGATCTCTCTCTGGCTGGGGGGAGAAACTTTCGAGAGAGGTTATTTCTTTGTGGCATCAGAAGTGTTGCACCGCAGGCCATCTCCGTTTGTCAATTCCTTCCCCGACTGACTTGTGAGAGTGGCAAACACAGTTTCCAGGAGCCAGTACTTCAGGGAAGAAAGAGTAACCATGCTGGGTTCTGATACTGCAAATTGGAGTATTTTTTGCAAAAGGAGGGCAACTGTCCTCAACACAGCAAACTCTCTCACCTCCTGGAAGCGACAGCTGACCTTCCTTGTAGCTTTTCAGAACACAGAATTGGTAAGAACCCTAGCAAGCTGCTCTCCCTTCCCCTGAGCATGGGTGAAGCCAGGATTTTTGTTAGCAGGGACAGGCCTTTTGCTAGGGGAGGGCAGAACCTCAGTTTGCTATGTATTATTTTTTTAATTTAGGGGGCAGCTGCGCATCCCTGCCCCCCCCCGGCTATGCCCATGCCCCTGGGCGGCCCATGGAGGAGACGCTGAGGGGTTGCACTGCAATGTTGTTCAGCAAGCAAGGCAGTCTCAGCTCAGGACTGAACTGGATAAGGAGTTGGTTAGAACATGGTACTGATAACACCAAGGTTGCAGGTTTGAGCCCCACGTTGAGCAAAAAGATCCGTATATTCCAGGAGGTTGGACTAGATGGCCCTCAAGGTCCCTCCCAACTCCACAATTCTATGATTCTATGCCCTTGCTACTCCTTCGCATCAAGGTGAGGTTGCTGGGCAGGAACATGGAGAAGCTGGCTGGCATTTGAACTGGCCTGAGAATGAAATAACAGGAGGACTTGATGCCACATGAATGGATGCAGGTCCTTTAACAGCCTCAGTTGTTCACATGCATGCACTGAGGAATCTGCCAGCAAGTCCCCCACCTCCTGGGGCCTTTATGCAGAACACACACAAGTTCAAGGGGAAAGAGATCGGAGCAAGAGTAGCAGGCCAATGCTAAATAGAGACCACCTGCCAATTTGCCCCTGAAAATACTCCCCATCAGTTCACATATGACTTTTACAACATGCCTCCTTTCATGTATTCAGTGGTCTTTGTTTGCCTGAGCTTGAATCTGGACTAAGGATTATGAGCCCTTGTGTTCTGATTCAATACACGATATCCAATCACTGAATATTTCAGTATTTGGGTCACTGCCATTGGCCCTTAAACTCTGAGTTATGATTCGCAGCTTGGAAGTTTAGACAGCCAATCACGTTGAGAGTGGGAGTGGCCCAGTTGCTTTACCCCTATTTATTTTCCCCAATTTGAACTATAAAATCATGATTTTGTTGAGTCAAAATGAGAGTACCCCTAAACATTTTTTTTTAAAGAAAAAAAGCACTGGTTAGTTCAATAAAGGTTCTTGCTGTTATCACTGTGTCTTGCTTCATGGGAACCACCTACACTTCAGCTCCCCAGTAGCATCTTGTTTTGTCTTAAGAGAACGAGGCTGGAAGTTTCCAATTCAAAATCTTGCCTCACCCAAACTTCTTAGTGCAGCACCACACTTTTCTACATAAGAAAATGAGAGAGGTTGCAAGGAGGAGAGTCTCGGCCAGACACCTAGCACAGAGCTCCTTTAATGTTTTATATTTGTGTGGAAGTGAGAATTTTATCAAGCGCAGCTTTTCACCTCCTTGGATTTAAAGCCGTGCGGGTGGTTGCCCCACACAGGGCACTGAGCTGAGAGGGTACAAAACTGAGAAGATCCATTTGCAGACGCCAAATGTTGACCTTGCTCCAGGCACTATACAGTGGTACCTCGGGTTAAGAATTTAATTCTTTCTGGAGGTCCGTTCGTAACCTGAAACTGTTCTTAACCTGAAGCACCACTTTAGCTAATGGGGCCTCCTGCTGCCGCCGCGCCGCTGGAGCACAATTTCTGTTCTCATCCTGAAGCAAAGTTCTTAACCTGAAGCACTATTTCTGGGTTAGCGGAGTCTGTAACCTGAAGCATATGTAACCTAAGGTACCACTGTATTACCAAAGATTAGCAAGGCCCGCCCCTGTTTGCATGTGGTTACCAAAGTGCTCAAGAGGAGAACATTGGGCACCTGTCAGGGACTGGAAATCTGCTCCACATGTTACTGGGCTCCAATTCCTATCAGCCCCAGCCAGCATGATCAGCGTTGAAGAGACTTGAAGTCCCATGGACCAAAAAACCCCAATTAAGAGTTAGGTTCATGCTACAGGTTGGAGTTAAAGAGGAGCCCAAATTGAAGGCAACTGCATCTGTGATCCTAAATAAGCCTTGTCTATCTCTCTGCCTCAGCCTCCTATCTGCAATTTGGGGGTTAATGGAAAGGAGAGGTGATGTTAAGGGCCAAGAGTAAGAAACAGGAAGACACCGGCTCAGGTGTCATCTCTGCCTCAAACACTTTCAGTGGCCTTAGGCAAGTTGCTCTTCTCTCAGCCTTGGCATTTCATAACATGGATGTAATATTCACCCATCTTACAGGGCTGGTGTCCTTAGGACCTTTGGAATGATGTATACAAAGCACTGTGTAACCTTGAAATGTGTGACTTAAATGCTAAGGGTTGGTGCTGGCAGAGGAACATGGAGCAAATGGAGTGGGACAACTGTGTATGAATGAATGGTATTTGTTAGTTGCTTTTCTTACAAAATAACCCAAAGAGACATTACAACCAGTTAATAATAACAGTGAAAACCTAAAAACACAACTAGACAGATAAAAGGCAGGATTGCATGTCTCACTGCATTAAAAGATGCCACCTTTCAAAGAAAGGCCCAGAAGCCAAGGCCTTGTGCCCAAAACTGGATAAAGGTGGTGCTGGGTGTGCCTCCCTGGGGAGAGCATTCCATAAGCATGGGGCCAACACTGAAAAGGCCCATTCTCAAGTTGCCTTCCTCCAAACCTCCCACATTGTTTTGCATGGCAAGGCAGTGGAGGTTTCGGATCAGAATTGTCTTTCTAGAGGGGCTGCCTTCCCAGGTTGACAGGCCCCATCTGGCCCTCACTTCCTTCTACAGCACCTGCAGAAACCTCCTTCTCGGCCATTGGACCCACTATTAGTCTTGTCCACTCAATCCCCCAGATCCTGTCTTCAAATGCAGGAGAAGTCCTTAATTCACTGAGGGTTTGAGACCTATTGGCTACCCTCGCCTGTGGCCGCTGTCACCTGCTGACAGCTTCTAGGAGCCACAGGTGAGAGGTGAGTGCAGAGTGAGAATCAAAGGTGGACAAACTACCCCAGAAGGAGCATGTCATGCACCCCACAAGAGGTACTACCCCTCCCCTAACACCCCATGGAAACTAATAGAGACTGGAAAAATGGATGCAGTTATTAGGTAGATCTTACTTGGCGCTGCACAAGTGGACTCATCTGCAAAACAACTCTCCTTTTGTGCTTCAGCAGGAAGAATAAACATAAAGCAGATAGAAAAGACTGACAGTGCAGAGGCAAGGAGATGGGCCTGAAGGTCTTCAGAAATCCAAAGTAGGCAAGCAGGGACCAATCCCAGCATGCACTTAACAATCTGATTATGTACACACACACACACACACACACAGCCTCTTCTCTTCTAACTAATGGAGGAGGGATTGCATTAAATGCCAGCAAGTGCATTCCTTTTAATCCTTATCCCAACCGTCTGCCTTGTGCTGTATTTTTGCTGAAATCAACCCCTGTAATTCCCTAAGCCCTTTTGAATTTCCTCATTAGCGCACTCTCAGCCCACCCACCCCATTGCCACATGAGGCTGCAGCACGTGAGGATGCTTTCCCTGGATCCCCCTGGCTACAGCTGCCCATGTGAGAAACTGGGTCCTCTGTTCCTCCCTGTCTTTGCGCTTGCACAGGCCTCTGTGGCCGAACAATAATTTGACCTTCCCTGTGCTGCAAAATCTTGGGACAGGGTGGTGGGCGGAGAATATAGCAGCTTTCAGACACCATAAACCTGCAAGCACATCAAAGTTTTGTCCTGGTGTTATCTGACCTCCTTTTGGGTGCATCTGATCTGGCCCACTCCCCTCCACAGTCTGTCTCCATCCTATCCGCCAAGGCACCTCCTGTCGATCAGGGCACAGGTGAAACAGCTCCAGTGTTTGCTTTAAATTCTCTTCCCTTCCTCCTGGATTCCAAAAGGGTTTTAGTCTATTCATGATTTCACAGTAACAGGCAAAAGCATTTGCGGCAAAGTCTCCCATCTGTCCCATTCCACCGCTATTCTTAACAACAACGGGGATGGCACAAAGGGTGGTTGTTGTTGTTTTATAAAAAGAGGTTGTTTATTTTGTAGGGAAAACCACCTGGGTGGTCCCATCTATTAGGCATTTGCTTTCCCCTATGAAGGAATCTCCTTTTCCCTTTGCAATAAAGGGAGCAGGTGCAAAGGCAACTCTTTCAAGTGCACCCAGGTGCAGATTTTGAGGTCTCGGATGGGGGAAGGGGTGGGGGGAGTCTCCCCGTTATGTGACACCCAACTTGGACAAGAGGGTATTGCACCATCACCAAAGGCATCATTTAATATATTTGGATGGGGAAAACTATGGGGGAAACAACAGCAAAGGACAAAACGGAAGAACAGAAATGTCTGTCTAAAAAAGGTGGTGGAGGGGGGGCAATGACAGTAAGAATGCCCATCAAATACAAACATTCAGGAGAGAGCAGACACATTCAACATGGATCGTGCACCCCAGACAGACAACCCTAGAGACCAAGCAAAGATACTCACTGCCTTTGCCCTGTCCTCGTGCTCTGGAGGTCTTTGCCAATTGTGTGGTCAGAGAGGCTCTATGGAGAGAAGAGAGCAATCTCTTAAGCTAGGAGCAAAACCCACAGACAGCGACACACCTCCCTGCCTCCCCCTCCCCCTATTTCCCTAAGCAACGGTTCTGCTGAAGCCTCTCTGCATATCACATCCAGTAAACACTAAAGCAGCCTAACTGAGCAGGCTTGAGGTTTGGCTAGCACTGCAGAGCTGCTCACAACATTTCCATTGGTAGGATTTGAGAAGTGCCCACCTGATCGGAGCATTTTGAAGCATCCTCCTTCATCCTGCTCCTCCTTGTTAACCTGATGGCATTCAAATCCCTTTGCTTCTACTAAATTAAAGTAATCCAACACTCAGGGTACGCAGTAAATGTCTGATAAAACGTTTGCTGGGAGGATTCAGATGGGAGTCCCGTCCCCCCCGTAAACATCCATTTGGTCCTTGCTTCAGCAGTTAGAACAAAGCACTAGCCTGTATTTAAATAAGTATTTAAATAAGTCCTTGGTGGGTTTAGGATAGGATGGTAAATCCATGGAGGTTTCTGTGCAAGGCAGCTGGTGGAGTGGGGTTGAGGAAAAGAACATCAGCGAGTTTCATTAAAGAGCGCCAGTACCAGTGAAGTCAAATTGCATCTATTAAACAGCAAGGCGGGTTTCTTATTGGGAGCACTCGTGTGATAAATACACAGCCATTTTTTAAAAATAAAAAATGTGATTCAGAGTCAACTAAATAGAAATGTGTGAATTCCTCCTCAGTTCATCAGCCTGGGTGTGATCTCACACTTTCTTATGCTTCCTCTCACCTGACTCCCATCATCAGTCCAGATCTCCTGCCAGCTCAGGCACACCTCTGTCTCACTTCCCCTCACGCTCTTTTCCTCTAGAGGTGGAAGGAGCTTTGAAGGCCATCACATGCTGCCCTGTGCAATGAAGGGATTTCCCTAGTTGTAGCCCATGCCCAACAGAAGTCACCTGGGGCTTCTCACCATCTCAACTTGGTGGTCACATATTTATTGGGTGATAAATGAGTGGTGAACTTGGGTCCAAGGATGGTCACACTCAGGACCAGCCCTGCAGCAGATGTCCTCTTGGCCAGGGTCCCTGGGGTTAATTTCTGAAGCCAGAACTGTTGCCAGGATTCGGAGTGTAGCAAGCAGGAGTATACTTGATCAGGCAAAGGCAAAAATCCGGGATTCCTGTATTGACACCTTGACAAACATCAGGGTCAGCCACAACTTGACCGAGATCTTCTGGCTCTTGTGAAACCATTCAAAGTTGCATAGTGAAGGACCATACGGGTTCTATTGGCTTCAGAATGGTTCCACCCCCAGGCAGACCATTGCTTCAGCCTGACAAGACCTAGTTATACATACTCTCACCAGGTCAGGCCTGGGTAATAGTTTACTTTTAGGCTTTCCCTAGCTGGCCCACAGCTTCCTTACATCTGTCTGTAACCCATTTATTCCTCTGACTTTCTCTGCCACCTGTTTACATGACAAATAGATTTTAAACTGTCCAATGAACAGTATTTTTTTGACATACTTTTTTTTATTGGTTTGTATTTTGGTTAAAGAAGAAAATACTAGGTATAATAATAGATGGAGAATTCCCTGGATGGAAAGATCCAGGTTTGAGGCAAGAACTCTTTGGTGAGAGAACCACAGCAGAAACTTGAAATCATGAACAATGCAGCAAAGTAAAGTGTGGAAATATAGCCTCTTAGACCTTTAAAAATTCCCCTTCCAAGTTGCTTCTAAAGTTCCCCACTCCCATCATCTCCAACTAGTAGGACCAGTCCTCAGGAATTATGGGAATTATAGTGCAAAAACAGCTGGAAGCCCGTGTTTGGGAAATGACCAGTGTTCCCAAGTTGTAAGTCACTTGAGGGGGCGCCAATCGGAGGAACATGGTGGCTCAGCTGCCCTGCAAGCCCAGTGCTTCCCAGGGTGATCTGCCCCTCCTTAACCCCCCCCCCAGCTACACCACTGCTGTGGCATGGGCCAAATGGCTCACACAAGAGCACAGGATCAAAAGATGGAAGACCCCATGCACACTCCTTCCTACTTCCTTGGCAGTACTTCCAGAAGCTTCCAGAAGTGCAAAGGCAGTGGAGGCTATGCAGGCTGGTGTCACCTCTCCTGAGGCTGCAGAAGAGGAGGCCACGGAGAAAGATAAAAGGGGGCAAGGGAGGGGACAGGCAGGCGAGCGACAGGGTCAGTGGGATGGGGGGGTGCCCTGATTTCCCCACCTGAAATGTTAATGGGGTGCAAATCCACTTCCAAAACAGAAAAAAACACCACATATTTTTGTGATAAGAAAAGTGAAGGCAAAATGCCCTGGTGTAGGTTAATATAAACTGCATATGCAAATCAGAATGAACGCTTAATAAACAGCAATACTGTTTAACTTCATGCAAATTTGGTGCAAACAAATCTGGATGAATACTAAATAAACAGGTCATTTGAAAGAGCCTCGGTCTCTGCTGCTATGATTTGCATCCACAGATTAATTATTGTGACTGAATGCACTAAAAAACCCTTCTTTGATGTCCATGAAACTAGCTCCTAAAGAGAAGAAGAAGAAGAAGAGTTTGGATTTGATATCCCGCCTTTCACTCCCTTTAAGGAGTCTCAAAGCGGCTCACATTCTCCTTTCCCTTCCTCCCCCACAACAAACACTCTGTGAGGTGAGTGGGGCTGAGAGACTTCAGAGAAGGGTGACTGGCCCAAGGTCACCCAGCAGCTGCATGTGGAGGAGCCGAGACGGGAACCCGGTTCCCCAGATTACGTGACTACCGCTCTTAACCACTACACCACACTGTCTCTGAGTGTGGTAAATCATAGCAGGATTCCTGGTTTATCGTGTTTCACTATTCCTTTACAATCAAGTTATTTAGATAACCCATTCAAGACTGCAGAACCAGTTTGTTAGCCCAAGAACTGGAAAAAAACCTATGAGCTGTAAGGTTGGTGAAAAGGTAGTATCCAAAAGCCTTTGGTGCCCTGCTGGTACAATTTTGTCTTCACCCCAAGTTAAAGGGGCTTCTGCTGCAGCTCAGAGCAATTGCTTCTTTCACATCCCTTGTAGCACCAATTTTTGTTTTCAATCTGCTTTCTCCATCCTAGCTGATGTAAGAGCCTTAGCTTTGCTTTTCCCATTCATAACTGACGAAGGGCACTGAATCACTTGTGTCATGTAGTCAATCCAGCAGAAGCGGGTCTGCCAAAAGACATCATCATAACCTTCTTTGCCTCTAGTAAAATAGCTATTGTCAAGTTGCTCTGTTTGTCACAGCCTTAAGCAGCTGTTTTTGCAGCAGTAACCCAACATTATTGGAGGGAAAGGATTCAATATTTCTCAGTTTGGCAGCTTACAGCGTTCCTGGCCATATATACACTAAGTGAAGCTGAAGCCTGGGAAAGCCTGGTAGCTCTTTGTATATCCTCTTTCAAAGCGGGGGACAGAGATGTGGCAGGCCGGTTCTGTCCATGCACCAGACTCCTTAGGGTGCTTCCAGATGACCTCTTTACTGAGCATTCATTCTGATTTGTTTTCAAGGAGATGACATTGGCTCAGACCCTCCAAGTGTCCCTATTTTTCAGGGACATCCCTGATTTAGAGGTGCCGTCCAGGTTTCTGATTTGATCCCAGAATGTCCCACTTTTTCTTAGGATGTCCCTATTTTCATCGGAGAAATGTTTGAGGATATGTAATGAATGAGCATTAAGCAGCCAATGTTGTCAAATTAAATAGCCAGTGTGGGGAAGCCAGATGCTGCTGTGTCAGAGAGTCTCCTAATGAGGGATTATTCTGGCCAGTTTTTGTGGAATTCTATCTGCTAGTCACCTTTTATTTCTCTAGTGCAGAAAAACACCAGCACATCCTTGCTTCTTGCCGTCATTCCTCCAGTTTTTATTGTCATGACGTCCTTGCCATGATGGTGTTTGAGCTAAGCACAGGGCTCCCCTTTCCCTCATAATCTCCTGGTTCTCCACTACTTCACATTGGCTCTCTGTGCCAATTCTTCTTGTTTATTTGCCTTTGTTTATATGTATATACACTTTATAAACTGGCTGCCCTATAACCTTTTTTTTTTATTGGCAGCATCCAAGGATGAAAACAAACAAAATTACAACAAGTAAATACAACTGGTGTAAACCCAGCAGCATAGTTTTTCAGAGTGTGGCCAAAGGTGCCTCCAAACTCTTACTATTTTCCATGAGGAATTCTCAGCCAACAGATTGTGTGGAAGAAGGGCCCAGAGTCATCTATCTCTGCTTCCCCCAAAAAACCTTCAGGAGGACTGTTTTGTTTTTCTGTGATAAGAAAAGCAGCAGAAATATGTGCTGGAAACTGTGGGATAACACTTGCTTCAACACCACGTCCTCTAACCTGCCCGCAACATAGTCTCCCATTGCAATGAAAATGTGGAGACCTTCACACAAACCCTTAAGCCATCACGGCTTCTCTATTTGTCATGCAGAATCCCAAATTCCCGATTGCAAGTTTCCCCCCACCCCAAAAAACCCAAAATCTTTCCCACCTTTTCATCCATTGCTCCTTCCATCTCCTGGCCAGGGAAAGAGAGAAGCAGCAATCTACTTTGGGTTCTCATTTGCATGCTCTTACAAACTGGAGGAGACTCTTGAGAGTCCCATGGACTGCAAGAAGATCAAACGCATCCATTCTTAAGGAAATCAGCCCTGAGTGCTCACTGGAAGGACAGATCCTGAAGCTGAGGCTCCAGTACTTTGGCCACCTCATGAGAAGAGAAGACTCCCTGGAGAAGACACTGATGCTGGGAAAGATGGAGGGCACAAGGAGAAGGGGGCGACAGAGGACGAGATGGTTGGATAGTGTTTTCGAGGTTACCAGCATGAGTTTGACCAAACTGCAGGAGGTAGTGGAGGACAGAGGTGCCTGGTGTGCTCTGGTCCATGGGGTCACGAAGAGTCGGACACGACTAAACGGCTAAACAACAACAACAACAAACTGCTCAGCAGCATCACATACATCTCCTG